AGGGGTACTGATACTGATATCCTGATACTAAGTTTTACCATATGAAAACTGTTTCAGAACTTTGGAGAAGTGGAGTGACGTTGAGCTTGACGATTTCATTCCTCATCCTGTACACGTATTCTACTTTGGAAAACTTTGGAATGAGGTATGGGGACCTTTAGAAGATTTTCCGTGCTCTTCTGACTTGCCACCCTCTAAGAAACTTTCTTAATAAAAGTAAATTGAATAATACAAATAAATAATATAAATAATAGAAAAATATTTAAAAAAGATCCAAGATGTTTGTCATTTGCAGAGGTCACAGAAGTTGTTCGATCTGATCAATGGATGGGGGGCATGTCGCTGGTGAATGGCAAAATGGGCCGCAGTCGATGTCCACTTCGGTTGGTTGTCAACAAACTGGTGGGTTTTTTTACTTAGAGGATGTGTTATCCCAATAAAATATTTTATTTCTGCATGTATTATGTATCACAGCATTATCAAACTCTCAAATATCTCGTTCGATAGTCTTTACGAACGCGGTTTTCTTTTCTCGAAGAATTTTCCCAGCCCTGTCATCTAATCTGTCATTTTCCTTTCTCCATTCCCATCTTTTGCTTTGTGTTATTCTTTTGAATATGCCGAACCACATTGTTGTCTTGCATATTGAGAATGAAGGAAAAAAACTAATCCTTTCTCTCATCTTTCACTTATAATTATTTTGAATTTCTCACAAGGTTGGCGAGTGATGGAATAACTTTCGCCTCGGACGAGACTCGAACCCTGACCTGTCCTATCGGGGATTGTTTTTTACCTGTTACCCTACCGACTTCCCGCTAATTTCGGATTTTTTGCTGGAAATATAGTTGTTTACAAAATTCGAGTCCAGCGTTACCGAAACTTTCTTTTCCCAATAATCCCTGATAGGACTAGTATTCAGTACCAGATATCGTGATAGTTGATAGTGCCGTAAGCTATGGGAGCGGTGGAAATCTATTGCATCCCAGTGCATACTACTTTTTACTCCTTCCTAATTGCATGGTATTCCGTCTTCGTAGATCGATATCACCACTCAAGTGTGTATTCAAAAAAATGAGCCAAACTTTCGGATTAGCTGTGAATCAGTGGAGTAATTTGATGCTCAAAACAACAAAGTGTTGTGTTCGGCGAAGCTTTGAATCATTGCGACGATTTAGACGACATAGCAGTCTAGGAGTCAACTGAGCTGCTTTGTATTCAAATATAGTAATTCAGAGATTTACATCCTTAGAACGAACGTCTGTAAAGTGAAGCGAGTAATGTTATTTGGCGTCAGCCGTCTGGGATGCTTCCGGATACAAGCCGAACGGCAAAAATGACGCACCGCTTGAATCTAATTTGTAGATTTGTGTTAGATAGAACGAGAGAATTCAGTGCAAACTGGCGATTGAAGGGGTTCTTCATCGTGAAGACGCGACGGACTCTCTATTATCATCAAATACACAGTTCATGATGGAAATGGTTCTTGATATTTCCTGATAGATTAACCTGGAGCCTCCAAGGGTAGCACAAAAGACGCCATCGAGTCGATAAACGATCTGGGCAGGGCGTAATAAGGGCCCCCGAATCGACTCAAAAGGCGGGCGAGAGTCGGACGAGTTGTCGGGCTGTAGAGATTGCACTATTGAGGACTTGTATGCCATCAGTTGATCGCGGAGGCAGTCGTTTTGTGTAACGACAGTAAAAGAGTCTGCTAACCGTAGCCAGCTGTACGCGACATCACATCGGAGAGCTCGTCCGATTAACCCTATCACGCCATTTTGTCAGTTGATCTGGGAGGCAGTCCTGACGTAGGGCTGCAATGAAAGATATTTTATCACAAGGACTCACAAGTTTACTTGATCGCCGATGGCTGACGAGATGCTACGAAGACCTTTTTGTCTACTGTAGTCACTGTAGTACGCAATGGCACACATGCGTCAAATCGTCCAAACACTCATTCTAGGCTTTTTTTCGTCATAGTCTCGCCCAACCCCCATTTTTTCCACTTTTTACAGCCTTTAATTTCTCCGCGAACCCCAAATCTCGTGTTTTCTTCGCCATTATCGCACTATTCTCGACCTTCGCTTTCCATAAGTCATTTTAACCTTTGTACCCCAAGATTAGGGCGAACTGGACTTGTTATACAGGAAGAGGAGCCTCTTTAGGTTTCCTTTCTTGTGCATGATTGTGAAGTCCATTTCTATCTCTTCCTCCAAAAGTACACATCACTATAGCCAATCCAATACATCACTCCTAGACAATAGAATTTTTTCTTGTTGGAAATTTATCTTCTTTCTCTCCAAAACAGGTTTTTATGGCAGTACATTAATTTCTGAAGAAAAATCCCATGTGACGGCATGTTCTGCAATCGGAAACTTTTGCTTGTGGCAGGCCAAAAATGCACGCAAGAACATCTGTAAGCTTTTCCCATATTCGAACTGAGGGAAAAAATGTTAAATTCTTGAAAAGCATTTGCTTAAAACTATTATTGATTGCATATCGTAGCTCACAGACGTGCCAGCAAGTCAATCACTGGAATGTTCGCGATCGTGGAAGTGGACCCCTCCCTCCCCCTATCTCCCTGCCCCCTTCCCTAAACATGTGTTTAGACCAACCTTTGGGCTACAGGTTTTTGTTATCCCTCCTTTCGCTTTCTTGATTTCTTCAATCATGATTGTGACCAGGAGAGGCAAACGACAGAGAGAAAATATAGGAAGATCCAGCATTCGGTGCTGATCGTTACTGTTGAGTAAGAAAATGGGCTAAATAGAGAGCAGTTACGGCTCAAAGACCGGCTTCGTCGATGTTCACACTGAAAGGCGGACGTGTTTGAATGGCGTTGTAGGAGCTGCAATATTCAGAATAGAGCGCATATGTTGGCTAGTAGTTGCTGAAGTGCAGGGCGATTTCAAGAAATTCAAGCTACTGTGCCCGACTCTTTAAGCAATTGCAACGACTCACATCTCGTCCGAAAAGTACTTCCGTGCTATTTTTTGTCATGGTGAACTCGTACAAAAATCTATTTTTACAGCTATTAGTAATCTTTCAATTTCGCGAATGCTGCTCACTCTCGTTTTCTTCGCCACCGACGCTCTAGTCCTCGCCTACACCACGCTTAAACTCTGTGAGAGCACCTCAGAGTGAGCTCTGCCCTTAATGTGGCATAAGTGGGAAGGGTAATGAGTTGAAGTTAAAGCCTACGAGCTTTAACAAGTCCGTTCGAGAGGTGCGGCTCTGCAGTCGACTTTCTGGGCGCACTGAATGCGTATCTGGTCTATACAATGACTTGCCGTGGCCAGCCGATGTACAAGCCAGTGCTTCTATCCTCCACGGCCAGTTTGGCACCAATTGACCGACCCCAAAAGATGGAAGTCTTGGTTGATCTGGATGAGTACGATACGAGATTCGATCTGTGGACCATGCATGTGTGAGAGTGCGCCGCTTGCCACTACATACACCCCTCCGCCCTACTTTTGCTATTCCGAGACAAACGGGCGTCGATCATGGACTGTAAACAGTATATCTAAGGTTATAACTCCTTTTTGATGAATCCTAAGTAGTAGAGGGCTATGTGTAATTTAGCAAGCGATCGGCCTTGACGGTTCAGCATTGATCTGTGAATCGTTCAGCATGGGTGGATCAGGTAAATCTTCCTCAGTCCAAAACTAGGATCGAGAACTTTAGGTAGATTAGTGTACGTTGATTGTGACAAAATAAGACAAATATTTTTATTGGGGCATGCACCGTAATGCTATACAAAAGAGTGAAGCTTAGGTGAAACTGTCGAAGTAACCTGTTCAGAGGATTGTCTTAGGGCTTTTGTGTTAGAAGCCTGAAAAGATCGACAGGTCGACATGGAGGTTCATCAGAAGTGGTTACACGGATAACTCACCAATCATCTTGTTGTCAGAAGATGGCCAACCCCGGCCGAGAAAGTTGTGCTCTCCGTGTAGGTTGAAATTCCTAAAAAGGAAATAACAGAGCGTCGGAAAATCAGCGAAATCGTGTGCAACACATTCACCATATTCGCTTAATTTTACTTCCGATTGTCTCCTACTCTCTTTATTGTCGAGTAAGCCTACCTTCACCATGAGGCTCTGGTCAAAGGGTTGCCATACTTAGAAGTTTTCAATCACCAGGTCTCCGAGCGAAAGCGATTGTGAGATCAAGAAAGGAAGCTCCGTCTATGACACATTGTAGACTCAAGTCTTTTTTTTTCAGAGGAAGCAACGGCAAGCTACTCGAACGTTCGCTAATGATAGTGCAGAAGTGCCAGAATATGTCAACAGAGTGTGGCTACGGTTAAATGGGGAGAAGAGCAGCTTCCACGGCTCCTTGAAGTGTGCAGCCCATCATACGCCGCCTTAGGGAAGCCATCGGAAAAGTACAGATCAACCGATATTCGGAGAACGATCTAGGCAATGACAGGATGCCGTAATAACTAGAATAAACCCGGCAGGGATGAAATGGAAAGAGTTTATTGGTATTCTGTACTGTCGGCTGAGCTTCATGGAGCTCGAAGGAATGTACGCTGGACAGTAGCAAGGTTCATGATACTATGTGACAGCGAGTTTTGGTTCGTGAACAAAAACAGGGAGAGGAACTTCACTTCGCTGAAATAGAGGTGCTGAGATGGGCCTGCGTTGGGTCGGGATAGGACTGGTTCAGAAAAAAAGGACGTCAGCAAGCACGATGACCAGCTGAAGACGACCGAGTGACACCTTCGATCGTATGGGCTATGGTGACAAGATAGTCCAATAGCAAGGACAACGAAGTTCGAAGATCGGAGGAAACGATCACGTGGATCATCAAAGACGAGGTGATGAGGGGCGTTTCCAGACTGAAGTTAATGAGAGAAGATGCCGTAGATAGACGGAGTGTTACCGACTGACAAGAGCACACACCCTGCGGCTTCCAGCGCGTCTCTAAGTGATTCACCGGTTCCTGTTTCTATATCCATTCCGATCAAAATTATGATTTTAAAATTCTCGTCGTTTGGACTAACCCCATCCCACTATCGCTCGAATCCGAGGAGCCCTCGTTGTTGTTTTTGTTCTCCTGCAGCCTATCCACAAACTCTTGCTGCTCGTTGCTATCGTATTGCATCCTATACGATACCTAAAATAGCTGGGTGAAAATGGTGTACATGAGAAAAGCTAATATAAGATCTTTCATACGTCGCTGTTGAGCCTTCTTGCTCTCCGTTTTTCGGCTTTTCTATGGGCTCTGAAATATAATTGTTGTAAAATTTTCTCCGATATCAACCATCGAATCACACGTCCTTATCAGAGACCTTCTCTTGCGTTTTTCCTCGATTCTTGCCAATTCCAAACAGTCTGCATTACAACATCCATGTATTCCTGGAATAGAAAGCTTTTCTGAGGTAGAACGCCCCTAAATTAGACAACCAACTCGTCATCAACACCAACAAGTGTGGGAATAGGCCGAAGTGGGTGTTGCTGATCAAAGAACTTCCTTCATCTTAAGATCTGTTCACTTTTACTTGTAAAAACGCCTTTTGACTGCGGGAATCATATTTCAACTGTGTACTTGTAAAAGAATCCTTCGCTGTGCAACTTATAACTTGCACCTTGCAATTGCAGATCATCCCGTAGCTTCTAGAGCTACATATCTCTTACTCGTGTGGTCTTCATTTACCGCGGAAATTCTGCTTAAAAAAGCCGAAGCGCCCAAAAACTAGAGTCAAGATGTTGTGATCGATTGAAAAGTAGCTCTGTCCACATCTTGGGCTAACCACAACTAGGCGCTAGATTCTAACGCGCTAGATTCTAACACGAGCTGAACAACTCAGGTAATGCCGCTGCCACCGGTGCGGACCAGCAGGCACCACCGTTTCAGTCGTCGAGCTAATATCAGGGCCTTGAACAATGGCTAATAGCGGACAGTAGAACCTTTAGTTTTGATACCATTTTTTACCTAACAACAATGAGTTATTCTCAGCACTGAGCACTATATCTTTTGAAGGGATAGTTCATGATGAAAATGGTTTTGCAGATTTCTTCACGGGGTGAGCCTCTGACTCCTAAGGACAGTACAAGGTGCGCTGCCGGGTCAAAAAATAGCCCAGATAGTACGCGAAACGGGATTCAAATCTGCTTAGCCGACGTACATTATCACAGGACGAGTTCTCACGGTTTTGTAGGGGTTGGACCGTGGCACCTGGCATACACGTTGCATTCACGCAGCTTACGGTAGCCAGCGGGGGGACGCACGATTCGTGCGATTCTGGGTGCGCGCGGCGAACTGCGCGGCGGAATCTGTAATGATTCGAACGACTCTGACGCTTACTACTGGAGCACCAACTTGAAGTAGAGTGGATTAGTAGGATCACCTGACCATACCCAACTATTCTACTACAAGTTTGTGCCCCAATAATAGGCGTCAGAGTCGTTCGAATCGCAGAGGATTTCGCCGCGCGATTTGCCGCGCTCACCCAGAATCGCACGAATCG